AGTCCCACCTCAGTCGAACAAACCCATTCAGTTTCCTGGGATCGTTACAATTCGTCATTTTAATTATTGCGCACAAATAGTGGGCTACTTAAATAATTATTTGTATTATTTTCTACTTTTATACACTAAACGTTTCAATTAATTTATTCTTTCTTGTGCTGTGATCCATTAATAAAAAACCCCATTAACACCGCTCCCGTGAGACACAGTGATGGGGCCAAGTGATCACTTGGACTAGGGGGACACCATATCCAGGGTCTTCTCAGTCTCTGATTTTTGTGTTCCTGATTGATGGTCGCACAGAAACCTGGCTATGAACTGACTCGAAACTCACACCAACCGTATGCGTAGTTGACGGTTGCCTCCAGCACTTATGCGGCAGCGAAACAGAATACAGTCGACCACGGGAAAATGTATAAAGCACCTAACAGTCATTCTCACAAAAAATGTATTTATTTAGAAAATCCCGTTCAGGTTGATTACGATTCTGTCAAATTCGCTTCAAGAGGGAAGTTCTAGAAGGAGTGGGCAATTTCTCGCAGGCGTTTGGACCACTCAGATCCTACGCGAGCACTCTGGCTGCAGCCATTGGCGAGGGGCTGTTGGGAGCATGCAGTTAGCACACAAGAGCAAGCACGCACATGCTTTCCAGTGAGATTAACTGAGTCTTTTGAGAATGTACTAATTTTCGAAAGTCTCTCATACACGCTTTTATGTTATATTCCCCTAGCATTAGCCCTGGCTGCGTTAAACTCGCTTGTGGGTCCTCTAAGGCTAAATACAACGGTTGTACCGTTTCTTGAAGTAAAGCCAGACCAGTAAATGCTGCTCTCACATGGTGCTGTTGACCTTTCTACTGCTACCAAATTTAATTTCTCCCATGCCCCTCCCACTTTCCGCGGACTGCAGGGCCGACATGATCTGGAAAAAACGTCAGGAGAAGACTGACTTTATGCCAGACGGACGGCCCAAACGCTGGAAGCAGCATTTCTTTGATGCCCTCACCCGCACCATTGAGAACAAGTAAGTCCGTTGGCACTCCCTCTACTCCTCCTCGTGTCCTCCCCCGCTGCTATAATCTTCCTGTTTTCTTAGGGTCCAGGGCTGTGCTGTGGATGGGGAGAATGAGAAGAATCGGCTAGTACGACACAATGAGGCCATCCGGCAACATGCGCTCACAGATCTGCGTATTGCCAAGGTAGGTGAAGTCTACATCCACCTACATCTCCCTTGAACGGTGGATTATCTTATTTTCTCCTATTCATCGATTATCACCGGTGTCTTAGGGCGCTCTCTACAACAAAAACAACTAATTGGCATCAGCGATTTAAAATATGGTAGAGCTCGCCAGTTGCACCCACTTGATGGGTGGGTGTGTATCCTCCTTCCCCGACGGTAGGCAGTCAAAATTAACCGGATGCTGGGTAAAACTAGTCTTGATGTAATGGGGTCTTAGTATGCAACGTTTTCTCTTTGTTACTTGATGCATATTTCTCCCACCAGGTAACTGACTCACTCGGACAGTGGTTAGAGCCTAGGAACGAGAATAGGGATTGCATTTTATGGTCCAGTGCGTTTTCCTCACTATAAAGAATTTGAAAGGCTTGAATGTAGCACGCTGGGCTCAGAGGCATGGTTTTGGAAGTTGCCCACTGATGGGATAACTCGGATCTTGCAGTCAGCCTAATGCGTGTCGGTGCGCATTGCCTGATCGGTGAACTGAGAGTCAGGTTGCAGAGCCTGTCAAGGCACCCGCACTCTGTGGCATCCGAACCAGGTGTGGCGGCGCGCTTAGCGGCTGTTCCGGCCGTGTCAGCCATCTATGCCCTCACACGCATCCGGTCTTCTTGATTTTGTGATGACAGTGGACCCAAATGGAGGAGGAAAAGAAAAAGAGAATATAGTAGATGCAGCGCAGTTCCATCATCAGTATAATCTAATTCGCGCGCCAGTCACCGTCCTTGTTGTGAGACATACGATGGACTTCGTCGAAATCGACGTTTGAATTGTTGTGTTATCGTTCACTTGATGACCAGCCGTACTTCTGCATAATTCACATTGTTAGGGAATAGAAGATGGTCATCCAACAAGTATACACTTCTGAATCTCCACACGTTTCGAGAAAACGATATAAGCGTGGCACAAGATCATTGACAAGGTCATTTCGATTATGAGCCCGCTATTCTAGGCTTTGATGGGATTACCAAGTCGGAAATGTGATTGTATGTATAGTCCTACATTTTCCTTTGTAGTATCCACCATTTCGATCTATTTACCGGCTTATCGCTGCTCTATTGTCACCGTTCCTCTTTTGTTCAATGAAATTCACCGATTATTATTTGTTGAGGCATTCTTCGCCTTCTCCTCCTTCTCATCTCTTACCAGTGCCTGATTTTTTGTTGCTTCTTCCACAGAATATTTGTCCAACCGTTTTTCCGCCCGACTACAATGTCTTCGATCGTTTTGTGGAGATCTATCACGATGCGATTGGCGCTCACGTAAGTCGTCCCTTTTGCTTTCCAATAACTTATTCAGCTGGAGACACTAATCAACAATGGCCTAAACGACACGGAGATTGTTCAGCTTCTCGGTTGGATCAATGCCTATCAGTGAGTTGTTAGTTCCTCTGCGCACCACTTATGTACTTTGAGGAACGAAAACCTATCTATTGCCTTTTGTAAAGTATGACCGTCCATCAATATTTCCGGAATACTATACTTACTTATTAGATTTCAGTAGGCAAATGCGATTACAAATGGTAAGTAAATCTGGAAGAGTGAGATATCGCACAAAATCATAGTCTTCACCAGCTGTTAGCACCGAAGGGAACAAATCGGAGCTTGTCCCTGATAAGACCTTTACTCGGTACCTTGCGGAGTTCTAGATTTTATCAATTGGCGTTCGGCGAACGGAGCACTATCAAACAGAAATTTTAATGTTTCGACAACAATTCGGAGCTTTTCAGAACCGAGGAAATACCGGCATTGACAGCAAGACCCAGGTCCAAGAATCAGCGTTCCAACAAGATCGATCCATATCTGACTGATCTAACTAAATACAAAGCGTAAGCAACCTCTGCTGGTTTTCTCTTTGGCAATCTGACAACGGGGCAGGTCCCTGGCTGTGTCTCAAAGGGATGGCGGAACTTGAGTACCTATGAGGAGGGGAAGGGGCGAAATCAGATGTCCCTTTCAATCCGACGCCAACATTTTTTATCGTAACCTATCACAGTTTGCTCACTTTAACCATGTAGCGGTCTAAGCCGTGGTTGTGCTTAGGGCACTACAATCATCCGGCCAAATTCCAGGTTGAAGGT